ATATAGCTGAGTTTATTTCCGACATTAGTCTGCTTGCACCTGTTCTCACTCTCTTCGCTTGCGGATTTTCTTATTCCTCCTTCTACCCTTAAGATGGAGGCGATACGTTCCTCCGAAACGTCGGTTGGCACCACATCTACACGGTGCCGCATCCCAGAAGACTGCTTTATTCAGCTGTTCTTGTGTCTGAACGAAATAATTAAAGGTTTGAAGGAACTGTCTCAAGTTCTGTCTGACGAGACAAGTCACTCATCTGCCTCCCTCTTCTAAAGTAAGAGCATGTACTCAACTGTGAATATAATTTTTTCATATTTCAATCCGGATTAACTGTAACCGTATTAGCGAGGGTTTACTGTATACTAGGATAATGTTGAAATACAAAATCGATCCATTTATTCATTTTTATTCATAACACTTGATGATGGTCAAAAGGGACCGAAGCACAGTGTTATTGTGTTTTCACTTCACCTCAGTCGTTTTTAGTATACAATAATCAGAAGGTTTGTTGTGTGACGGCACAAAAAAAAACTTTAATAATATCATATACACAACGGGACGCATAAAATATAAATAAATATTAAGCTGTATAGAACTATAAGGTTTATTTTGGACTCTATCCATCGTCTGGTATATATAAGACAAAAAAAAACACAACGTTTCGGAGACTGCATCTGTCTCCGTCCTCAGGTGGATGGGGCAAGATAGACCTACTCGGTTGGGCCCGTTAGAAAGAGCAAGTCTCAATCACTGGACAAACCCCGGTCAGTAGAGAACAGCTATCTTGCCCCATCCACCTGAGAACGGAGACAGATCCAGTCTCCGAAACGTTGTGTTTTTTTTTGTCTTATATATACCAGACGATGGATAGAGTCCAAAATAAACCTTATAGTTCTATAGAGCATACACCATCGTCAGAATCCTTTAAAGTCTAAACATTAAGCTGTTTGCTACGGTTGTTATGAGGTGGGAGTTTACGTCTAGAAGCAAGGTTTTTCCGTAGGTACTGATTTTATTTTCCACGATTTGAAGAATGTTTTTTTGAATCATATCGAACATTTTGTAGATGCTGGGCTGACACACTGAAAGAGAGGCCACACATTTCAACGAGACTGTTGAAGGAAGAACATTTATTCTTAAGTAAATGACTGTGAAGTCGGTTAAGTAGCTGCTTAGTTTCACAGTCGTCACTTGGCGCCATGGTGTAATTTCCTAATAATTTCAGTTTCCAAAGAGAAACATGTACGCGTCATGCGAACAGTTACAGATCTTATTTAAATTGCGAGAGAGTTCTCTAGTCCCACACGGCGATAGACGTGCGTGCGTTTGCGTCTTTAAGCCAAAACATTTTTTGCTTCTTCATCTGTGAAGGTAACAGGTATTACAACAGGTTCTTAATATGTGTAGTTAGTTGAATTGAATTTCATCTGGCTCAGGATAGGGACCAGTGGAGGGGCTGTTGTGAAGACGGTAATGGACATTCGGGGTTCTATAAAATATTGGGAAGTTCTTGAGTAGCTGCACAATTAGCTGCTTCTCAAGAAGTCAGCTCCATGGAGTTAATTAATTAGTTATTTAAAATTTAAATTAAGGAAATGAACCAATTGTTCCAGCTACTGTCTGTATATCTATGACTACAGCTCTTTGTTGGACCTTGGACGGGGGATCAGCACGTCGCAAGGTCGCTACCTACACACCAGATCGCACAAACAAAGAAGAATAAGCACACACAGACATTCATGCCTCGAGTTGGATTCGAACCCCCGATTCCAGTGTTCTAGCTGGTGAAGACAGTTCATGCCTTAGGCCACGGGGCCACTATGATCGTCTATTCTAACTTCTAAGTACTTAATACTAAAATTATTGTCGTCTTGGGTGTTACGCCGTGTAGTTTGGTAGAAATGTACCTAAGTTTCGGAGAAACTGGTTCCATCTTGAGAACTAGACTCTTTGTTTTCTGCCAGTTTGTTTGCTTACTCCTCTTCGACGCGTAAGACGATAATAGCGGATGCCCTGAAACGTCGGTAGACTTCTGCAGTACTACATTTCATAATCGCTACTGTGAGAAACTCAGTTCTCAAACGTTTGAATCGGTATATTTGTTGATGTTTTAAAATTGATAAGACTGAAGGCACGATAGAGACTATATTGCGGTTTGTGTGGCATGCAGGACTTTGATGTTTCGATGGGGATTCATCTGAACCACGCCCAGCGTCAGCATGTTGACAACTTGCAGTCATACAAACGTACTGAACGCCTTGCAATAACAGTATACTGCTGTCCACAGGAAATATTTTCGGCAACTCTTGCTTATAAACAGACTCGTCAAGACCTCACTAACATCTGACTCCCTCCAGCTGACAACAGAGCCATCACTATGGTCATTTCTCAGTTCACCTCGAACAGGGGAGATGAATTTCCTGCTCCCGCGACTTTGGTGGCAATTATAATTTAACAAGTTATTATTATTATTATTGTTATTCTTCTTATTATTATTATTGAAGCTGATATAGCGACTGACTACGGGATGAGATTTCGACTCCGGTAAAGGCAAGAATTTTCTCCACGTCGTCCAGACCGGGTCTGGCCCACCCAGCCTCCTGTCCAATGAGTACCGGGTTTGAAACAGCCGGTGCCTGAAGCTGACCACTCACCTCCAACTAGTGCCGAGGTCAGGAATACGTACATCTATACAACCACTCCCCATACGTTTTCATGGCATACATTTATTATTATTATTATTATTATTATTATTATTATTATTATTATTATCATCATCATCATCATTACTTTTAGCGAAGGCTGGGGTCGAACTCGGGGCATGGGATACTGAAGTAATAACGTAACGAATAAACTGCTGTCATCAGTATTGGTAATGACAGCCACTCACCAGAAGAGCTAAAGGAGCGGAGCCCCGAAACGTCTATCAGATATAGGCCTACCAGACAGCGGTGTGCGTAATGTTGGCAGGCCTGTAATGAACGAGTTGCGGCACTGATCGTATTCTTGAACCTTCCTGCTGCGTTTCGGCCAGTTCTGCTCCTTTTTTCCCCCTCATTGCAACGTGTACTGTTCTCGAAACGCGTCTCACAATACGTCACTTTGGAGCCACATGACATTACTGGCACCATCTCAAGGCCATGTTTCTTTCCGCGGTAACGTTTTTACCGAGCCGTTTCGTAGCAAATGATAGGGGGATACACAGACACAGACCGATGGGAGGGATTTATGACGTGCGCCGTTGAGGTGGGCTCAGGTGCCGTGATGTACATCCCAAGTTACGTAAAGATTGGTCCATACATGTTGGGAATATACAGACACAGACAGCATGGAGATTGCATAAACTTACTTTTATTTTTTTAAAGGAAATTATGGTTGTCATTGTTGTCACATCTTGCGTATTTTGTCACGGGAACAGAAATTTACTGAATGTCGGCCCCAAAGACTGGCAGATTGTGTTTAGTTTCGCCCCATTGGAACATCGAAAGTTGTGTATAGTGTCTTTGTCGTCGTATTGTCCTAGACCAGACACCTTGGCCATTATGTTGCCCAGACTACGAAGCGTGGGACCACCAATTCTTGTATCGCGGAGGAGTGGGTTGTGCTTTAGACGGCAGGCGAACACTTTGAGAACGCGGCCGTGTAGAATGGGAAGGCTGTTATGCCAGTCAGTTGCAGCAGTGGCACAGAGATAGGAAGGAAGTTTTAATATTCAAAATTACACAGGAAAGTAATGTACCAGGTTCTGAAATTTAGGCGTGCATATTTCTGTCTGTTAAAGAAATGCAGTATTTCGGAATAAGATAAGATTTGCCAGGATAGTAGGTTTGCTACTTTCCACCTGATGACGGGACCAGAACCAGCTTTCGAAACCTTGTGTTTCTCCAATCAGAACGAGACAGAGCAGCCGCAGCAGGGTGTATGATACAAATTGGATCGCGTTACACTTAGCGGCTTCTCCACCTTGACACACTTCTGACACGGCGTTTTTTGTATGCGTTCACAACAAAGAGTCGCATATTCGCCGTGTCTTTCCAAATTTAAGAACCACGGCAACCTTTGAATAGTTTTTCATACAATTTGTCATAGGTCAGTTTGTATAAAATGACGATTTATTGGCTGCAAGACCGACGAATCTGGGGTTCGAGTCCCGACAGAGACATTTTCCCTGGCCACGGCTTCCAGTCCAGGTGTGGGGCCTAGCCATCCTCCTACCAAATGTGTGCCGCCGAGTTTAAAGCGTCCGGGGTGTGAAGCTGACGACTCACCTCTGTCATCTGCTGAGCCAGGACACAGTGACCTTGAATCATGCAAAATGAGGTTAGAGAGAGCGTAGAAGCAGCTCACCCCAGCGTGACACTGCTGCTTTCCACTAACTTTCCTTTCAGAAATGCCCTCACAGAGGACCCCAATATCAGCAATCATTGCGCCTCTCGTTGTTCCCCCCTCCCACACTGATAATAATCATGAGGTGTGAGGTTGGGAGAGCGTGGTGGCCAAATTCCCGAACACATGGCGTCACGCAGACGAGTTGCGTGTGCAGTAGCAGCGCAGCGATGGACATTTTCGTCCTCATTAAAAACAAACGTTCAATGAAACTTC